AAGACACAGAGTTGTGCTTGATTTTCATTGTCAATGATAATTTGATCTAAATTTTGAAAATGCATTTGGTTAGAAATTCATTTTCTAAAGTTATTCCAAGCAGCCTTCAAAATCTAATTTGGGAGAGAAACAACATAGTTACTCCTTTATAAAGAATTTTGATTAATCTTGGATAATGAGAAAACATAGAGATATGCGATGATTAGGTGACTTCGAAGGAAACAAACATGGTTGCGTTATTATTCTGTAAAAAGTTTCATCAAATCAACATTAGGTTTTGTATAGGGTTCCCAGACAGATTTGAGGGAGAGTAGTCCGTGTAGATTCCGTTTCTGTTTCTGCCTGGAGAGCTATCTAAGATTCTGCAACCTTCCAGTTGCGTCGGTTAGACGAAATAATCACTTACCTACCAATTTTTGCATTCCGCTTCCATGGTTTAGATGTTGCTTCAGGTCTACAGAGCCATTTTATTTATAAAGATTATGAAGGATAACAAGTCTGATGGTCAAACTATCGGGTTTGGGTCATTTCTTTACAATTTTGGAACAAGTGTTTTGTAAATGAAACTATGGCAAAATGTTGATTAGTTATGTATTATTTGCCCTAAACAAATACTCCGTACTATGCAGTGGCATGTGTAGGCAGCGGTCACTTTTTCTACAGAGCTTACACACTCCCACACTTGCAGTGGCATGTGTAGATACCCTTTTTCCCTTTACATGTTTATCAATGTTCCTTTTGTTTATTGAAAGGGACTCAAAGTGTGTGTGCACACATCTTATCCAGACTCCAATCAATGTGATTTTATTGAGTTTGTTGTTATTTTCCCAGCTCATAGTTAACCAGCAAGCTATATTGACACAGACACAATTGTTTTAGCTTTGAAGGGCGTTGCAGAGATTTTAAAGATTTTCACAGTAGGCTTCAAACTTTTCGAACAGTAGGCTTCAATATTTTCACAGTTGGCTTCATACATTGGAATCAGACTATACACATGCGTTTCCATATATTAATTATATTTGATAGATGAATGAAATGTTATTTATTTTGTAGGGTTCTCTATGTTTGGCATTCCTTTTATACTCTTTCTAACAGGTGATTTGCTTACACAAATTCTACTTTGATCAGTTTGGTGGTTAGAAATGAAATAAAATGTATAAAGTCATACTTTTTTACCAAGCCGCTGAGTGCTCTATATGTTTTAATATTGTCTTACTCTTGAAAACTCTGTTTATGAGGTACACTACTCATTTCATGATGATTGAAATCCGTGATGTCCCTAAATTGTTAAAATTCGGTCTAACAGAAGGTTTTGTGCAGTTTCGTATGAGGGAACCACGGATGTGTAACATTGCATGTCATATTGTTCTTAATGCAAAAACAGAAAAAGAATTTAAGAAGAAGATAGATGATGGATATCAGGTGAGCATGTAGGGGGAACAATTAAAAGTTCTCTTGATGCTGTTTTTGTCAACTGTATGATAGTCAACGGCGTCTGATTTAGTACTTGAATGTAACGGGATTGAATTATTTTGCATTCGGGAATCCACGAATGTAACTTGAATGTAACAGGATTAAATATAAAGTGAGAAAGCCACCAGACTGAGCATCAGTTATTCTTCGAATGAAGGTTAATTGGGCTTCAAATTGCAGCATGGAGGTAATTTCACTTCTTGATTTCTTTCTGATTTCTTCTTAGTTGGAGTTCTATTTCCAACCATGATGTACTTGCTTCTGTCTAACAGCTTTGAAGGTGTCTCCTCTCGCTCGAAGCTATGTCCTTCTACCTGAAGATATCCTTTCGCAAGCGCTCTTTTCCCATCATTTATTTTCAAAATATACATCAAAATTAGAGTAGTCCAGTCGCTACCACTACTTACGGTATTTCCAAATCTCTAATTTCTTTTCTTTGTTCTTTTTCTCTTGAAAATTAATTTCTTACAATTAAAAATATGGCCAACACGCTGACATTTTTCTACATAAATATATTCAGATTCCTTGAATGTAGATCTCATACTATATCATAGTTACCACCTGCAAGTGAAAAACTATATCATAGTTACCACCTGCAAGTGAA